GGTTATTATTAACCAGATGCTTCCAGTTTCCTTCCTCAACAGCTACTATACAGGACATCACTTCCAGATGTGTGGCATGCCAGATGACTAATCCTTCCCCCCAAAACGACAAATCCCCAGGAAAACATGAAAGCGGGACTGCCCCCAGAGTCCACTGGGAGGTAGACTTCACTGGGGTAAAGCCAGGACTATTTGGATATAAATATATATATGGTTTTTGTAGATACCTTTTCAGGATGGGTAGAAGCCTTTCCCACCAAGAAGGAAACGGTAACCACAGTTGCCAAGAAGTTGTTAGATGGATGCATTCCTAGGTTCAACATACTTCTTGAAGTGGGCCCAGCATGGAAAAAGTTCCCTAGTGCTGTGCTGCATCAAGTGCAGATTTCATCATTGCCCATGCACACCACCAGAAAGGACTTGAAACATTTCCAGTCAGAATCTATTGAGGAGCTGGAATTTAATACAGGCTGAAATCTGTCCACATGAGCACAGTTTGCAGTTCACCTGGGTCAGTTGATAAATCTTTGTAAACTCTCTGTTGCATGGATCTACAAGAACACCTTCAAGGCTGAAGATACTTCCACAGAGATGGAGGAGAAATGTGTCACCAAGTTCATTTCTTGGTTCTCCAAATTCATGTCTACAGAAAAAGCTATATGAATGAAGTTGACGTTCTTAGTGGCCACCCCAAACAGTTGCTCAGGTAAGGATGGATGGAGACTAGATGTCTGCCAGACACAGTGGATTTAGCAGTGATATTGACATTGGAATAGGTAATTATGACATATTTCTATTCTCTCATAATCAAGATCTCACAGGACCACTCATGAATCAGAACTCGGAACTCAGAGGAGATTGCACATAGTGACCATGCTACAAGCCAGCTGAGTGGGTCAGATCTAGGGAGAATGCATTCTGATTTCCTCCTGCCTAGCAAAGAGAAGAGGAATAGGAATAGAAACTGGGCCCTTGAGAAGGTGCGAGCTTCTCAGTTCAGTTCTACATCCAATAGCAGTGTGAGCAAGCTGCCTTAACTACTGTGTGCTGTAACTAAATGTGTGAGCCACCATGCCTGAATACTAGGTGACATTTTGTGAAAGGTTCTCCTGTATTACACTTTGACCTAAATTGCAATATAGTCAGCCCCAGCCCCCTCCACAGGTGCTGCTCATAACGGGGAGGCCAGCCCTTCTCTCATTCCTGTAGGGTTCTCTCCTACTTTAACCAGAACTGAGTGGGCCCTAAAGCCACCTTCCTAGAGACTGCTCTGATTTAATACTGGAATTTCTGCTGTTGTTTGAAACCCACTTTTTTTGCTTTGTTTTCCTTGACTGGGAGGGGGCTTTTGTTTTTCTTGTGTGTGTATTTATGTGTGTGTATGTGTGTGTGTGTGTGTGTGTGTGTGTGTGTGTGTGTGTGTGTGTATGTG